CCCCGAAACATGCCACTTGCACTAGCAGAGCCGCTCGCACGATACCGCGACAACGGTGCGAACCGTTCTCAAGACTGTTCGCGGCGAGGGTGCGCACACAGCGGAGCAGTCCTCCGGATGGATACCACTGCTCTGTGCCGTCTACCCCTGTTCCTGTTTGTGTCGGTGTGATATTGAACCAACCACGCCCGGGTCAGCCCACCGCAGTCATGCAAACTCGCATGCAAGGAACGAGACACATCGCGCTCACTATCTTTGCTGCAGACCAACAACGACGACTTCGCGAAAAGCGCCCAAAAAGACACAAAACATGCCTGTGAGAGCCTGGTCCGGTGAGAACCCGGCGTGCTCCGTCCCGGCTTTGTAGGGATGCGAGGTCAATGGTCTAACGACTACGGCATGTACGACTATGAGTACACTCCCCCCCCCCTCTCATCAGCTCCTCTCGCTTCATATTGTAGCCGCTGAGAACATCTGCCTGTGAAAAACAAATTCTGCTACCAGCAAGGCCACATCTAGCTCAACCCCTTCACGGCGTACGGCCCACACATTTCCCTCTCACTTGTTTGAGGCGAGCGCGTCCTCTAGGTAGGGCAGCGCCTCCTCGTAGCGCTTAGCCTTGTACAGGGTCCGAAACACGACGCACGGCAGGCTCCGGCCGAGACCCTCCCAGTCCTCTCCACCCCCGGAGGCCTCCCTGTCCGCCAGGTAGAGGCGATAAATGTCCTGCACGTCTCTCCACGCGATCAACGCCTGTTGTTCGGAGTACGAGGGCAGGAAGGGATGGGCTTGAATAGACGACACAGCAAGTCTCCGCATTGCTCAAAGCTCCGCGACCCACCGGGCAGATTTTTGCTCGGTCCTTGCTCGTTTGAGGTACGGCAGGCCTTCGGTTTATTGAGCCGGTCAGGAGAATTCATATTTTTTCATACGGCTGCGCTTTCGACCGATCGGCTTCCGCCCAAGATTGGGAGTGGTCTCTTTCGAGTAGCTTCTCGGAAGCGAGTTGTGAGCCCGACAGAAAAGAACACATTTTAACCAAAGAAAACAAGGATAAGGAGGGTCTAGGTGTGTACGGAATATTGAAATAAGGAACAAAGTTAACGAATTACCTACATGGACCAATGGATGCAGGGACAAAGCTTAAGGTCGAATTTAGGACCGCGTGGATTGGCCTTCGAGAACGTAGACAAAGATTTGGGAAGGTAGACGATGAAGACGAGAAGTTCAAATGTGACAACGGCTCCGAGTGCGAAGACAGGGTTCATGTATTTAGTTGAGGGATGTCCGTTGTACAAAAAAGGAGAAGGAAGTGCATGACTGAGCTGGAAAAAGTAGAAGGAAGACACAGGAAGATGTCCGAGGCATGGAATACCCAGGAGAAGACGGTAGCTGTGCTGGGGCATCGGAAGTGGGTTGCAAAGGCGGGAAGTGATATCGTTAGGATAAATAGAATACGGAAGACACTTCTTGAGCCGCTTTGGACAAAGCAGGAAGGAAGATTGGCCATCGGTGATCGGTCCTGTGGGAACGATGCTCCGTCCTCTTGAGGACGCGTGGTCAATGGTCGAACCGCGAAGGCATGCAAAACATAAAAGTACACCCCCCCTCCTCAACCCCCCCCCTCAAATGAACCCACCTCGGCCGCCCGCGCCCCGTAACAGGTAACCATGGTCGTCAACCGCGCTCTGCTATTCCTCCCCCGACCGATGTAGCCACGCACGCGCAGCATGCGGTAGACGTCCAGCACCCTCTTGAAGCATTTCCCGGCGACGAGCTGCTTCATCACGTCCAGCCCCACCTGGCCGGGAATCCTCCTGGCTCTATCGTCCACTATAGCCGTGTTGAGCACCTGTTTGAGCGCATCGTTCGGGGTGTTGGCGGGGGGGCGCAGTTGAACATCCGCGATAAGCGGGGCAGCGGCGGGAACGTGTGCTCATGTCCCGCCGTGCAACCCGCCATCACTGCAAAAATTTAGACGGTGCGGTGTGAGACGTTAAACTTGTTTGACACCCCACGCTCTTCGCCCGTCGAAACATGGACAATTCTAGGTTTTGCGTGGCGATGCTATACCCAAAACAATGTCCCTCGTCCGTATGTTTTCTTTGATTGGCGTCGCCCGCGCTAACCGGTTGATCAATGAGAGAATTCCGGCCGCAAAGAGCGGGACGAAAAAACTCGAACACGCTTACTCGTCTGCTGGCTCCCCCGACAAGTGTGTGTGTTTGAGGAAAATTACGTCAATACCAATCAAAGAAACACTGCTTTTGTACCCGTTCGAGACATGTATAACCACAGCAGTAGTCGAAGGGGATGGGTTGAAGTCGTTATTTCTTGTTAGAATACTGAATACAGCAGTACTCACATCAGCTGCGGCCTCTGCCTGCCCGCATCGCAGCAGCAACCGAACCAGAGCAATGTAGACCGTGGGCGTGGGCGTACCGGTAACTTTGCGCGAACGCTCCACGATTTCCATCGCTTCCCGCCATTGGCCTGTCGTGCAGGGGCGGTGTACGTGCGGCGCGCACCCAGGTAGGACATGAAGAAAAGTCGCATCATACAACGCACGGCGGTCATGGCATGTGAGGGTCATCAACGTACGTGTTCGTCCTGTTATTGACAAAACTCTTAAGTTATGATATCCACGGGCGAAGGCATAATAGCCGTATGTTATGTAAATACTATTAATAGTAGAAACAAGTGTGGTGGGTCATATTCACGCCGAGTTGGTAGCTAATACTGCACGCTTGTGCTTCCGTGATAGCGTATTGTCTACAAGTAGGGAGGGCGAAAAAAAACGCGAATAAGCCTTCTTGTGCTGCATGGCAGCTTCAACCGATAGTACATATTTTGGCTGACTCGTGTCCCCCCACAAGTCCATCCAGCGACCCACCCTACCCGGACTGCATCTAATATGTTTATTGTGGACGCGATGCCCTTGGGACGCGGTAAGCTGAAAAGCAAAAACACAGCTCTAGTCTAGAGCAGCAAAAAAAAACTTCTTGGTATCATCCATCTCCATCGCACAGAACGAATCGCGGGCCGGGTAGGCTGCCTGGTTCTGTGCACACAACAAAAGGAGATTCTGCACGATTTGCCATACTATGCACATCACAACGGGTGTGGCACTGCAACGCAACACGTACAGAGCGAACTCAGCGGTGCTTTTTTGGTTCGTTGCATCATTTGGAGGGGGGTGGTACTGCTGTACTTGACGCCACCCGTGGTGCTTCTAGTTGCTGGGTTCGGTACGTACGGTGTTGCGAAGCCACAAAGGGTCGAAAACCATGCCACACCATACAACTCTTCTCTCCCGCCATCGCACCAGTCGTTCGATTGGGTCAGGTTCGTCAGGGTGGCAAAGGCGCAGACCCACACATCAACATCACGACCTCGGTCGTGAGCGAGACCCTCTGTAACTTGCCCGTTCTACAAACAGGAAGAGAGGAAATCACTTGGGCGTACGTACACAGCAGCAGTGGCGGTGAAGAGCCCCAACAGTCTCCCGATGCCCGTGCGAATCGCAGGGATATTGCGCGACAACGCCCGTGGTATCCCGGTGAGACGAGACGATGCTGCTATGCTGCTGCACGAAAATGCGGTGGGTCTGTCACCGTCTCCCAGCTTCACGTCAACATGCAAGGGTGTCATGAACAACCCCTCCATTATTGGAGGCATGCAGCTCACGTAGAGCAGACACTCACCTCTTGCCTCGCACGCAGACATCTGGGCCTCAACTCGTTTGTAGTCGCTAGCACCTGCGACGACCCCCACAGCCGCCGCTGGCACTAGCCACCGCCGCTCACGATTGCGTTGTTGAGGTTCCTGTTGCTGCTGTGCCGTCATGCAAAGAGTTTCCCCTCCCCTTGCCCTCACCCTCCTCCTCCTGAGCCTCGACTCATGTCTACAGGACCCTCCCTCGCGAGCAAGGCTTCGGAGCACAGCAGTCTCTCGGCCGGTCGGGCGCAAACCTCCAGCGGCGGCTGGTGTTGATGCTCCGCATGCTGCAGCGCCGACGACGACGGGGAGGTCGGTGCCAAACATACGGTACGGAGGGGGAGGAGCCTTTGCGTTCACGGCGAAGGCTGGGACATCTCTTCCGACGGTGAGAGGCTGCCCACGCCATACTCCTCGGCCTGCTGGCGACGATGCTTCCACCATCGTGACAGACAGATAGCTCGCTCGCTCACACTGATGTGCACTGACCGTGCATGCGGTTTGGAAGGGCATGCACGACGAGAGCGAGCGAGGGGGGCCGTCAAATGGATCATTTCTAACCGCGGGTACCCGACAAAATGACGGTTGATCATTTTCTTTGAGAGAGCCAGTGGCGCCAGGTGCCAGGCGCGCGGGAAACGAGGTAGCGCGGTAGAGAGAGAGAGAAAGGGCGCTCGACGGAGTCCCGACGAGCGAAGGGAGAGAGACAACGAAAACGACAGGGATAGTCAGAGAGGGCGGCGAGGAAGCCCAACAAACGACAGGCGGCGCGCGCGCACCACCAAGATAATAAGGAGCGAGGGAAGACCAAGATCTGGGCGCGATGGCCTCCAGGCGAAGCACCCGCGCGAGCAGCAGCCAAGGTGGCTCTGCCGTGAACGACTCTTTCGCTTCTCTAGACCCGGAGGAGTTGTTACAGATGCTCGCGGGAGAGGACGACGACGGGGAGGAAGAGGAGGGGCGAGACATCGTGACAGACCTGGACGGTCGACTCGCTGGAGCGATTGGCCGCCCCGAGCTCGAGTGCGGGCTCAAGAGGAAGTGGGGCGCAGGCAACGAAGGTGTGTGTGTTTTTATTAAAGCATCGACCGCGCAAACCGGCTGACCAATGAAAAGATGTCCGGTGTGTGTATGTGTGTGTGAACCTGTGGTGTGAGCTTCGTACCGCTGCTGTGTTGAAGTGTGTCTTCTGCCTCGCCATCGCTCGCTCGGGCGCGCTTCAAGTGTCGCCTACTACACCATTTATGGCAACGTACATCCAGCAGTAGTGGGGTATGCGGCGTACCATCTGTTGTCGTACGTGCACGCCGATGAAAGCAGAAACACACGGACCGCCGGCGACGGCAAAGAATGGCACCTGCGTGCACAGCTGGCGGTGGCCACGGCAGGCTTCGCCAAACGGCGGACAACAGCCCAGCAATGGGAGTCGTTGACATGGAAACGGTAGAGTTATGCCTGTAAACAAGCGGTATCTAGCAGCGGGAAGGTCATTGGATGATCTGCGTGCTATGCACACCCTCAGATCTGATTGCATCAACGGAGTGCCATTCTACACTCTCAGATCGGATTCTGCTGCGTGCGCTGGTTCATTTTTCCCGCAAGTACAATTCCTCCGTGCGTTTGTGTGCATGGAATCAGCATTCGACACACTTAGTGTAAACCACCGACAGCTAAGACCAACACCGGATTGCTGTCCCTGTGAGTATCATACCGCCGTACACCTTAACACCAGGAGGAGAACGAAGTGATTGCATGTATGCGTATGCCAGGCAAATGTCAGCACTGCTGTATTCCTCCTTCACGGTATTCCGCATCCCCGTCATTGCTTGTGCAATCGCACGAGAAGAAAACCAAGGGGTGGTCATACTATAGCGCAACTGCGAATGTTGGCTGGTTCTGTATATCTTCGCCTCGATCATGCTGTACCGTCAACCAGCTTTTTGAGACCCAGACCCTCTCAACAAGCGTCGAGCGTGCTACCGGTCTCCTGATCGGGAATCTGGACGCTACGTGAGATCCTTGTCAGCCCTTGACCTCCGTTCCAAATTAAAATCCCTCGGGTGCGCTTCGATCAGGGGAAGAGCATGCTATCGCTGTACCGGCGACTGCCGCTGCAGCACTTGGGGGTTCTGCAGCTGCCCCTCCAGCGGCTCCGGCCGGTGCGCCCCTACACAGCAGCAGCGGGCGCATGAAGACCTTCCTAAGGGTTCGGCGGGTAGGGGCGGCTGCCGGGCCCCACTCCCTGAAGGTGGACAGCTCGACGAGGGTGACCATAACCAAGCCCGCGACGAAAACACGCAACCCGGTCAGCGAGACCTTCGAGAGCGAAAACGTCATGGACGAAACAGTGGGACAGGTAAGGCGCGCAAGGCATCGATTCGTCAGCGTTGTTCAAGAGAGCATGCCACACAAGGTGGAGTGGTGTGGTTTGTTCGTTTGTCCTCCATGTGGGTCGTTCGTCCTAGGAGGTGGTGGTGATAATGAATACTGTGCACTGTTCTTAATCTTGCATACACCTTATCTCCTGACCTCCCGACAGGCCAACGTGTACAGCGAAACCACCGCTAAGCTAGTGCAGGGGTTGTTCGAAGGGCGGGACGGAGTAGTCTTCGCGTACGGCGCCACAAACAGTGGGAAGTCGTACAGCCTATGGGGCCCTGGCGACGAGGCCAACGAAGGCGTCATCCCTCGCGCGCTCAGGGACGTCTACCAGCGCTTGGCCCGCGAACAAAAGCTCAGCACCGCCGGCGCCGGTGACGGTGAAACGAGCGAGCCGCGACAACCGCCGCGTGTTAGCCTCCGCGTTTTGGAGGTCTACAACAACAAGGCCTTCTGCTTGCTCCCGAAGGACGGTGGAGAGCGCCGCTGGGTCGACGTGAGCCAGCTGGGGGATGAGGTGCGCTTCACGGGCCTTGAAGAGCACTTTCCGGCCGACGTCAACGAGGCGCTGAGCCTCACGAGGAAGGTCAGGGGTCGCACGCGCGTCAACCGCACGGACCTCAACGCCACAAGCAGTCGGGCGCACACGGTGTTCATGGTTAGGCTCCACCGCGATGGCGGTGCCGAGGCTGGCGGTGCCAACGTTTACACCAGGGACCGCGGCAGAGGAGGTGCCCCCACAACAGGTTCAGGGTCGGCGGCGGCGGTCTCGCACACTTCTGAGTTATTTCTGGTCGACCTCGCCGGCTCGGAACGCCAGCACCGTTCGCAGTCGGACAAAGCGGAGGCCCTCAACATCAACCTGGACAACAGCGACCTGTTCGCGAAGTTCAAGGAGATGAAGAACGGCGCCGCCTCCGTCGTCTGCCGCACTCGGACGTTGACGGGCGTCCTGAGGCGAGTGTTCGTCAAGCCGACGGGGACGTATTCCTCCTCCTCCTCCTCTTCTTCCTCTTCCTCCTCTTCCTCCTCTTCAGGCATGAACTGCGTGATGATCGTGACCGTTCATCCCGCAGCTTCGGAGTACGGAGAAACCCAAAAAGTTCTCAGCAACTTAAGGCTTTCGTCGAAGGTAGTCCGCGTCGACGCGCCTCCGACGGCGTCCAGATCGAACATGACCGTCGAATACGGGATGAACGGCTGGCCGATTAAACGTCAGAAAACTAGCGCCTTCAACGGCGACCCCGCTGCTGCGGCGGGTGCGGCAACGAACGGGGGGAAGGGTAAGGGGAAGCTAGCCGTGGTGCCCGCCGCCACAATTGGGAGTCGGCCGTCCAGCAGCTCGATGCACGGTTCCGCGCTGCAGGACGAGCAGACACTAGAGATTGAGCGGCTGCGCGCGAAAATCGAGCAGCTAGTGGACGAACGGGCCAGGATGGAGGAAGAACACGCAGGAAAGCTTGAAGAAGCCGAATATGAGGCTTTCAGGCTTGGCACAGAAGAGGGCAGCCAAGCTCAGCAGGAATTGGAAGTGAGCAGGAAGGCATATGTACAACGAGAAGAGGCTTGTTGGGACCAGCGTTGGCACTGCTGACTGCATGGAGCACTTGTTGTGGGAGGCATTTCGGGGTGGCTTTCGATGCGGCGTGTTGTTGATTCTGGCATATGAGGCGAGTGATTATCACCGTTCGGGCTTTGGTCCTGGAAACGGATTTTCCCTCCATGACGCTCGCCCGCTCGCCCCCTTGCACCTTCCCTTCCCCCCCCTCCACAGAGAGAGGTGGCTGACCTACTCGAAAAGATCAGGCGGATGAAGGAGGAACGTGAGAGTAGATCCCCAGTAGGCGGAAAGACTATGGCGGCGATGGCTCAAAGCGCAATGAAGCGGGAGGCTAGGCGCGCAGAGAGCGTTAGGAAGCTGGAGAAGGCCACCACGAGGTAAGGCATTGGTCGCACCGCCAAGCTTCCCTCCTGTCTAGGTTTGATTTGCGAACGTCACGCCCAAGGATGCGAAGCCATGACCTTCTCGAGAACGCTTGTTCGTTCTCCTGTTACAGGAAGCGATACTGTATTAAAGCATCCAAGAGCTCGGCCATCGGGTAAACTAGTATAGCTCGAAAAACTCGATATCTAAGGGCTTGAACATCATTTGTGAGCTCGGTCAGGAACCCATACACAATAGCGGCCATTCGTAGCATATTCCTAGGAACTATAATAGTAAGAACCCCAGCTTTGGCCAAATTTGAGCGTGCTGGTGCTTACTATACTGCACGTTTCCCACAACCCGCACACATTCAACAAGTTTCTGGTGTAGGGTATGGGTGTCTGTTTCAAAGAATGAGTTGAACGCATCCGTTGTTAAAAGCTTGTACGCACGCATCAAGGACGCGATCACCCGAGCTATATGTTAGTCGAAATGCTTTGACACTAGGTGATATTACCGGGACGACTTAAGTCTGAAGCTCGCTTGGAATGACTGCGGTGCTGGAGATATTTGTTCTTTGGATTGCGCTCCATTTGGGAATAATGAAGGACAGCCTTCGAACAAGTCAAAACAGTGCGGCCCAGCAAGCTCTCTCGATTGCAGAACCACTTTGATTTTGTACAGATGTTTTTTGGTCTGGCGCCGCCCACTTAAAACTTGCGCTTGACGAGAGGCAATCGTGTACCGTGGCACATCGATAGAAAATATGGCCCGCCTCAGCACCTTATATGAGCTCCATTTACTCCCTTAGCAAGGCGGTTTTAATATGACATGAAGGACTCTAACACCGATCAAGCCTTTTTTTTTCGTTTGTTTCGCATCATCATATGTTTGTATCCATGCTTCTTCCAGGGAGGCCGACGACGAAGCGACGCGGCAGTCGAACGAACGCGCCCGCGTTGAGGAAGCCCTGGCTGCTGCCCTAGCCGGGCAAGCCTCGCAGAAGGCCTTCGCTGAACGAGAGACAGCTCGGGCGGACGCCGCGGAAGACCTCGCCGCTCGGAACGGCAAGGATTGTTCCGTGGAACGGTCCGCTAGGAAGCAGCTGGAGGCGGAAGTCGCTCAGCTGAAGACAGCGGCGACGGCGGAAGCCGCCCTTAAGGCTAAGCTAGCAGAGGAGCTGGCCACGGCGCGTGAGAACATCGCTCGACTGGAGAACGACAAGCAACAGGCGATGGCGTCAGCGGCATCTTGTAGTGCAGCGACAACGTCTGGCGATGGCAGCAACCGCAGCAGGAGCAGCAGCAGCAGCAGCAGCAGCAGCAGCAGCAGCAGCAGGGCTGACGAAGAGGAAGGGGATGACGACGAGGCTTCGCCGGTCAGCGTGATGGACGACGTCGGAGCCGTCAGCGACAACGACAGTGACAACGGCGACTCTCCCGTCGGCCTCAGAGTGGACAAAGCTCAGCAGCAACTGGACTCAGCTCCGCCCGGTGCCGTCGCCACGGAGGGGGACGACAATCCCGTGGACGACGAAGAGGTGCAACCCCCCGATGCCGAGAACGAGTCCTCGAAGGCCGTGCCCAAGAGGCGAGGTCGGAGGAGGCTGGGCCAGACGGAGGCGGAGGCAGCCTCTCTTGGCAAGCGGAAGACCCGCAAGCCCCTCGGAGACCTCCAGAACGGAGGCGTCAACGCCGGCAACACCGAGAGCGGAGCGGCACGACGCGGCAAGGGCGGGAACAAGAAGAAGGTCACCGACGAAGAGGTCGTGATGAAGGCGACGGAAGAGGAGGAGGAGGAGCCGTCGAGGAAGAGGGGGGCGGGGCGCGGCAAGAAAACGGCCAAGAAAGAAAATAAAAAAGAGAGTGCGGTGGCCGGTGGAAACGAGCCGCAGAGCGGCAGGGAACTGAGGTACGTATTTTCGGCTCGCCAACCCCAAAGGATTCTAGGATGTGTCGGACCCTTTCATTTAACGGACCGTCGGCGCGCTGTTTTTTGACGAACACGGGGAGAAGTAGGGTTAGTCAAGCCCTAGTCCGCGATCAGTATGAATGGCCTTGTTTCCTCTAAACCGCCGTGGCGCCCCCAGCGAAATGTGATAGATTTATCACGGTTCACTGGCGTGTTTCAGTTGTGATTGTGGAGACGGGAGTAAACCGGTACAGGCGCACACTTTATTCCGAGCTTACGAACGTATGTATCGAGGTAGATTGGTCGCATACGTCGAGTCTCGCCTGCACCACGTCGTTGTTGCCCCTACCTTGCCCTTTTTGCTCGAAAAGTGCTTCAAATGATTCCTTCTTGCATGTTTGTTCCCCACGTTTTTACAACTCGTCCAGCAAATCATGTGCACGCCCACTGCAGAGTTTCGACTATTCCCAACCCCGCCTGAATCACACATATTTCTGTCGTCGTCGTACGTAATTTGGGTTTTCGCTTTGTGGCGAAGCAGGAAAGGCGCACGGCTATCGAAACGCTCGCCGGAGGTGGTGGTTTTGACCAGGGAACAGGTGAAAAACATGGAGAAAGCCGGGAAGATCATGCGCGAAAGGCGTCGCTTTAGGAGGTAGAGAACGCTTTCCAAACCTTGCACCTGCGATTCCTTTCGGGGAACCAGTACACCGCGCGTGCCGAGATACGAGCTGCATTTGCAAGTTTTCGTCCGTGAGTCGCCGTGAAGCACAGTGTAGGCCAGCATGTATTTAGGTTAATTTATCCAAACGAAGTAGTGCTCTTGCCGATCCCAGAGTCGATTTTGAAGCTTGCTGTTGTTTTGTTCAATCGGTCGTCTTCCAGTCCGATAGTCGTCGGCAATACGGCAGGTAGTTACTTCTTTAGTTTTAATCTACCACGGTGTAACTCTGCTAGAGTAATTGGGTGCCGTTTATCCTGCAAATAAAAGCTGGCACTCGCCACCGGGAGCTTGTTCTTCTATTGTAATGGAGCATGCAGTAGGTGCCTTTCTGTTTAAGATTATCGTGAGAGTAAGACGCAGGCAACCAGAAGCCGCCGTGTGGTTCTGTTTTCGTCGTTGCCGCGGATTGAATACGGTGGTCACGGTGACGGATTCCTAAAATAGCCCGGCAAGAAGTTATAGTTTTACCCGTGGTTGGTCGAAAGGTGTTTGTACAATATCGACATTTTCTGCGTACTGGTAAGTTTAAGTGCATTTAGAGGTAGGTGTGTTTTGACTCGAAACGCCTGCAACTGGCAGTTTTTACGCAAGATTGTGGGGACGGCATGAGGGGAATCTGAAAAGACACTGTTGATTCCTTGTCTGGGACTATGATACGGTGTGTTTGTGGTGTGTAGGCCCACTATTTTCGAAGCGTATTGTTCAAGGAATGCTGAACACAATCGGTAGTCTAGAGGGTAGCCGGGCAGGCAAACGATGTAAATTAACACCATTCATTGATGTCCCATTGCCTTCTCGTGGCACTTGTACAATCAATAGATACTTACGTATTCGTTGACTTGGTGGCACCTTTGCCAAATGGCGGAATTTCAAGGCAGAGCGATGGCACATTGGTCTAAAGCTTGTCGCGAACAAAATTGGCTCGCTGGGGGGCTTCACGGAGGGTGTGATGGTCGCCTGTTGCAACCTTGAACCCTGGTGGCCGCTCCTCATGTTCACCACATGGACCATACTCTCACACCATATATATATCCCACCCAAAACTGAGGTTGTTTGTGGTCTTGATGCCGTGCGATGGTCTCCTCTCGATGGTGACACACAATACTCGTGCCGGTGAGTGTACTGCTGTAGCGCAGCCACTGCTATGGGCTCTCTTTGATCTTCGTTCTTCAATCATTCATTATGCTCTCATCGGGATCCTTCCGCATGGAGCTTCGCGTCACAATACCTACCGGTCCTTCCGTTTGGTCCTCTGTTCTGTGTCTCTATCTCGTTCTATTCACCTCTCTTCCTCCCTCGGAGGTAGGTGTGGTACAGAGCGCAGAACCCATGCATATAACTTTGATCATGTACACCGACCAACGACTGTATCCTGTTACTGCTGTACGATCTCCGCAAGCAGTTTCCGCCGCAAGATCTCTGGGGATTCCGCGTACTGCGTTTGGACACCCAAAGCATATATGCAATACTCCTAGCGCGTACCCCCTCCAAGTAGCGCGCACAGCAGCAGCACCATCTTTGCGCTCGGATGAGCTTGTTTGCATGGCTCCGAGAGATAGGCCTCCGGCTTCTCTCTACGCTTGGACTCTACAACAAGACGGGCACGGTTGTTCTACTGGGTGAGTCGCGTGGTCATTTCTTTTGTAAGGAAATGTCGACTTCGTTCGGATGCACAGCACCTGTTGCGCGTCGTGCGGCGGTTTTGAAGAACGAGAGTCACGGCAGGCCTGCACGTGGGCCAGCCGATGCGGTACCGCTAGCGAGAAATTGTGTTCGTAGTTCTGTCGCATAGCCCTATCGGCAACTAAAGGACTTTGCACAAATTCCATGTTATGGGGTTCGTGTGCTGCCTGACGACAGACATTTTTGCCTGTGTTTTTTACGGGAGCACGAACACACTATAATACGTACACCCGAGAGAGAACAAAACGACACGGAAGCCCAGCTGTAGCCCCCGCTCCCTGATTGCATGGTTGGTTGGGGTTGAAGCGGCAGGTAAGGTCGCCACGGCAAACTATCCCCCTCCCCCTCCCTTCGCAGACGCAAAATTGCTTTGGTGCAGCGAAGTTTGCAGCGGCTGTTCCTTGGGTGCTTTGGTGTGCACAGTTGATTGGTGGTTTCCGAGATGCGGAGAGTTGTTTAGACTCGCCCACACCTGCCATCCTACCGCGTTGGGAATCAAAGAATTAATTGCAGCACACACGCATCGGATGACCAAGCACAATCAGTGGGAGTACCGTCAGCGACCCGGCTCATGTGTCCCCGTGAAACGTCGCCCATGTAGCGAATGGATACTTGCGCTTGTTTGAGGACAACCAAGCGCACATGCAATCTTGATCGAAGTCCAGTATGCTGACTGCTGAAGCCGGCTGCACCACGGAAGTGAAGTTCCGTGGATGCATTATACCATTGAAGATCAATGCTCACGCTGCACTTATGTACTGGAGATCATCCCCCACCCTCTGGTTCATTCATGTTGGTGCGTGTTTTCACGGATGGAGCAGGGCTGGACAACTCGGGCAAGTCCACGCTGCTTCACAGGCTATCCCAGGGACAAGTGACAGCATTGCAGCCGACAGAGAGACCACACATCGACGAGTTTCAGCTAGGGGGCGTATCTTTCAAGGTGGGCACTCTTTCGGTTTTTTTTTAGAACGGAGCAATTAACGCACTCCAACTTTCCTGCACATGTATGCAGAGGGTTGATAGGTCAAGGCTGGCCCTTTTGAAGAAGGCAAGTGTAAGCTGGTTAGGGTAATAGCGACGGTTAGTATTCAAATACAGTGCGTCCCATGACATTTAAGTAATCGTATGGCAGAGGAATTTGGATTTTTTGGAGATTGATGTACAATATTGACTAACCACTGGAAGAGTCCGCCCGGAAATCAACATTGAGCTTGCACGGTATCCCGTGAGATTTTTTGTAGCGATTGACCCATCAGGCGTCGATGTTGGTTTACGACTTAATTTTGAAAACATGGTGAATATTGGGCCGTGTGGAACGAAATACAAAAACAACGCACCCCGCAGCAAGAGCCCCGACACGAGACACACGTGGAGACGAACGGACGAAAACAGCAAGGAATCCTCAAACGGCCAATTCCGACTTCAAAACAAGTCCGAACCTCAACTGAAAACAACAAGCAATTTCACCAAAGCACTTGTCGGCTAGTGTGGAGTCACCGGGAAACGAATCATCTGCCCGCAGGCGACATATCGATATTGCGAAGAATGAATGCCCTTGAGAAGAACGCTACCGTAATGAACTTGAAGACGTCACGATCCACGGACGGCGGTTGCGATGATAGAAATAACAACATCGGAGAGGACGATCTTGATCGCGGCCCAGGCTCGTCGAGGAAGCGGACGATGCACACATTTTTGTGTTTTGTTTTTTTGTTTTTCTTCCATCATTGGACTCTGTCGTCTGCCCCTCTGGCCCCTATCCTCCACTTCTACCAGCTAGACGACCCAACCGGGGTCACATAGGAGGGGGGGGGTTGGACCCCCTCGTGCGGTTCCTGCCTGAGATATTTTTATCGCGAGAAGGGTACAGCAATCCCTTCCCTCGCGACTTACGAAGTCGGTCAAGTTGAATAACAACGAGCTTTGCAACGCGTCGCTTCCAACGGAGACCAGGATTTAATTAGCGAGAAAAGTGTGTGAGCCTGAAGAGTCGGTCCAGCAACCTTACCCGGCCACTAACGTCCGTATTCAAGCCTTGCGCCAGAAGAAGAACGCGCCCACCGGCAGAGCGACGAAACGATGACCTCAAGTAGAACGGGAAACAAAAGGATAGCCCGAAGGCAAATATATCTCGCCTTGAGCACGTGCCATTTCTCGTGCAGCTGCTCCTGTACCGCCAGCGCCTACTTGCGCACCCCCCCCCCCGGCGGAGATGCCTCACTCGTTTGTCTGGAGCTTTCGCAGCCAACATCTGCGCCCGTTAAGCTCGCCTCAATCCTACGTGTGCGGGTCGCCGCTGCGAGCCCCGTCACCAGATCACGAGCGTTGTTCCTTGCATTTCTAGGAGGGTCTTGGTGTCGGCGGGCACGAGTTTCTCTCGCACAAATCACGGTCACCCTCGACGGCATCAAGGTTGCCATACACTGCAGGCTACATGCCTTCCCCAGCATGGCGCTTGCAGTACACATGCCGCCCTTGCTGCCCCCGTGGTAGGTTGTGATGTGTGGGAGTGAAATCCGCGCGCGCTAGCACGGAGTCCCCTTCACGAAAAGCCAGAGAGAGAGCGCACTTGATCTGGTGACGGGACTCGCAGCGGCGGCCGCATAGGATTGAGGCCGAGTTTAACGGGCGCCAATGTCGGTCGTGGAAGCGCCAGACAGACAAGGAAACTGCCACGGCCGCGGAGGCACCTCCGCCCGAGCGGGGGACGAAGTAGAGGCCCCAGCGGTACAGGCCGCTCGCGAGAAGCCGGCTCCGACCGTCCAACGGCTCTGACCGAAGATGCCGCTCCCGCTGCCTCTTGGACGCAACCACACGAGCGCACTGCTTGGCTTCCGAAACGCGAAACGGTTCTAGCAATGCGTTCTCGTCGTCGGTCCTTCGCTGAATTGACTGGGGCGGCGTCACCAGTCTGGAGAACAAGATGTCGTATGCATGGGGCGTGCTTCCGGAGTGGACTCATCCAGATGTTGGTGTGAATCACCTGGTAGTGACGTTTCCCAAGCTCGAACAGCTCACACAGCTGACGTGTTTTCGGCTCGAAGCGCCCACCGAACCTCACAAAAAGAACAATTGACAGATGTGTATGCTCAATCTTATGCGTTTCATCTTTGTTCTTCGCTGATAGGCATGGGGCCTCAGTTTTATGCGTTTTCCCGTTTGTTTCTTCGGTGATAGGCATGGGACCTCAGTCTTCTGCGTTTTCCGATGCGTTTTCCGATTTGTTTCATCGGTGATAGGCGTGGGACCTTGGAGGACACGAGGCAGTGCGCTATCTATGGTTCGATTTCTTGAGCGATAGCCACGCTATTGTCTTCATGGTGGACAGCGCGGACGGGGAGCGGTTGGAAGAGGCGCACTGGGAACTGTCGGAGATGTTGAGCGATGTGAGTTTTCGTGCCACAGCTAAAGATGTTGGTGTAGTTCACGATGATGGCCCAGCAGTGGACCACCCGATCTAGGAATTGCACGATAGCTGACGGCGTATTCAAGCCGGACTGAGTTTCGAGAGAGTTGAGAAGGAAAGCCGATTGTCCCAATGAAGAGCGAGCCCCTCCCTCCTCACAGTACCTACTACCCAATATGACCCCCGCCACGCCACCAGGCAAACTTGGATGGCGTTCCAGTCGCGGTCTTGTACAACAAGAGCGATTTGCCGGACGCGTGGCCGGCAGAGAAGCTTGAGGGGATGGTAAGAGAGGCCAGCAGCCGTATTTCTAATCTTTCGTGTTTTGTTTCCCCGCGCCTTGCTTGCGATCTAGCCCGGTGTGTCGCAAGCGTCTGCGGCAGCCTTGTGGTTACTTTGGTCTCGAGGTCACCGTATTTGTGGCGAGTACGGAACACCCGTTGTAATTGTGTCTGTGTAGGTCCTACGTGGCCCTTATACAAGTGCGCTTAGGTCACTCCTGCGACAGTGTTCGTTGCGCGCTCGTGGTTGGCTTCGTCAAAGGACACGAAATACCCACGGAGCGTTAAGCCAGACATTGCTTCTGGTTATAACGACGACAAGATGATGCACGGCCAACCCACAGTTATCCCGATGTGCACACTGCGGCCCCCACGTCCTTGTCGCTCGAGAGCAGTTGGACTTGGCGCGATTTGAAGCCAGGAGACCAATCAAGACGTTCGTGACGTCCGTGCTGAAAGGAGAAGGCTATCCAGACGCGTTTCGATGGCTGGGAACTCACTTGTAAAACATTTGCCGAAGACCATCGGAGAAGTAGTCCTGTTCCGGTTGGAAATGATGAAAACTGACGCTGTCTTACTGGACACGTCGTTGGCAGTTTAGGTGCATATTTAAGCATGCATAGTTTAGGTGATCACTTGGGAACAGCTCTGGCCGATAAACCCTGCCGCCGCCGGCGCTTCGGGCGGGAGGTAGCCTAGCAGTAGCGGTGGCCGCCGCGGGCCCGCGGTGCGTTTCTTCCTTGACGTTGCAGGGCCTGTTGCGACCGGACAGCCCAGGCAGGGCGAGGCTCAGCTCGTTGTATCACCTCATCAAGAGGGGATTGTAGCCATCAAATGTACCAGTACCCTTCCAAGTATTGCAATGACAAATGGGTGAATTGTTGTCAGCGTAGGTAGTCCACTGAAGGACGAAGCGCACTAATGCCATGATAGAGAGCCAATGCACACCACGTGCTGCAAGCAAATTGCCAGAGAGTGCGCGGAACCAATTGCATCGTTCGTGATCGTTTCTCTCGAGGCAGAAGCACTCGCATCGGGCCTTGGCTATCATTGTAAGGCCCTGCCGAACATTAACTGCGCCTTGTTGCGCGGACTCTATCGTACTTGCTATTTCCGGCTCCCTCGCGTTCGGGCAGCCGTGCTCACTGCTGTCCCATAGAGCTGGAATAGGCCCCAAATAATCACCTTGGGGTTGTGGTGGAAGGTGTCGTCCTTGTCAGTGCTCCTTGTCACTGCTGTTTGGTCGGCTTCAACGATTTCTCGTTACGAAACTCTACGTACAAGCAATGTCGGAGGGTTTGTTGTAGGTGATGCGCCACTTTCGCTCGTGCGAAAATGTTGCTTCTCTCTGCCGCCAATCTCAGAATGTTTGGAGGTAAATTTTGTTTGCGGTCGCACGATCTGCGCTCTTGACCATGATTGAAGGTGACAACTCAGACTCAGTGCGCCCTTCTTTGTATGCTTCGTGTGCGGTGGTGCCCTAAGCCAGTTTTGCTCACTCCTGTTGCGGTGTGTACATAATGCAAACTCAACAAAAATCCCTACACATAGTCCAATGCTCTTTCATCGAGCCGCACAGCGGCCGGGTGTCCAGCGACGAAGTACGAACACACAGCAGCCGTGTGTGGGTGTGAGGGGACCACGCAGCACAGCCGTGCTTCTCCATTGCATTCCTACTAGACCATGAGAAACGTTCCAAGGGAGTTTCTGGCAGCACGTGGTCACGTGCTCAGCAACCACATACGCGCAGACAGCTGGGCAAAGAAGCCACACGCTGACCGCGGACAGCGTTGCGGTCCGGCAGCGAGGACAGCCACGGTGGTAGGCGCCGCGTTTGGTTGATGCAAACGTCGCCGGGAGGGAGCGAGGATGCTCAAGCAACGAGGCACACGTTGCTGTTGGTGGCGGCCCCCGTCTGGCCCACGAAACCACGCCAGTGGCCGACGGCTTAAAACTTCTGGGGAGCGGATCCTCGTCTCTTTACATTTCTTGTCCCCACCCCACAAAACACGTCCCTCCTGAAGAATGGCCACCATCCGCTTGTTAAGGGATAAAAAGCGAAGGCTGCGGTGGTCCTCGCCGCAAGCGCTTGAGAGCGACAGGCTTGGGGCGCTGATTGGTGGATGCGTCGACCACCATCTGAGCCTCGGGCACGTGCACGTCTTCTACCTGGAAGCCTAGCCCCCTCGCCCCTCGCACGAACTCGTCGAAAGCCGACCTCAGTTCGTTGGTCACCAGGACGACTGTGTTGTCGCCGCACACCTGTCGGTGTGTTGCGTCAGACGGTCGCGTTGGACAATATCGGGAGAAATAGTCATGGGGCGTTCTTTGGACGCAAGCCACTGGTGTTTCGTTGGTTGTTGCACGAACACTTTTTATTTATTTTTTTGTCTTCATTCATCAAATCAGCTCTCACAGCACTAGTGCCGTTTACTCCAACCCGTGATCACACAGAAGGGCCCCTCTCTACCCTCCCCTCCTGCGGTGCGTTGCCTTCGATTTTTAATTGGAGAAGAGTTCAGCACTCTCTTCCCTATGTGTGCACACGAACTAGCGCGATCTACTAGGCCAGCGGAAGCGAGAGAAAAAACTCATTTTGCAAGAAAAGCTCGCTTACGCCAGGATTCGAACCCCTGACCTGACCTCTAGTAGGTCACGAGGATACCAACTAGACCGCCGGGGCGGCCGGCGAGTTGATCACTACACACGCCCGATGAGCCCATCACGACCTTCAGTGTCGCACGGACCGGAGAGTTGGTGTGGGGTTGCTGGCAACACACAAGAACAAGATGACTTAACAATCCGCACCGGATCGGAGAGTTGAGACGGATGTAGGATAGTTGGCATGGGGGTGTCATAAAAAGTTGAAGAACGATCGAAAGCTGTGCCATCTCCGATTGTCAAGGTATCTGCGGAAACGTCTTTCGTGTCTGTATTCTGGTTATATGGCATTGACAACTTCTCCTTGCCACAACCACACTGCAGAAGTTGTTCTCAAACCAAAATCGATTTCATCCGGTAGTTGTGACGGAAAACCCAACTGCGGAACAGGTCCGATACATACCAAACGTGACCAATCACAACAGCATGGACTCTTCAGGTATATAGATGTTCACCTGAACGCAAAACAATCGTTTCATCTCAAGGCCGAGTGTTTGGCACGCACATCGTTTGCAACCGCACATACACGCAAAAAGTAGATCATATATACCTGGCAAAGGCTCGCCAGCAAAGGTTCAACCGACGCACTTGCGTAGACGCAGTCCGCACAGATCACCAGATCGTAGCTGGTGCCATCGCCACTGCCGGAACTTTTTCTACCCTCCAGAAGACGTTTCGCGTCCGTACCCCAATCGTACTCCATCACGTCCACCGTCCCAGCGCACGTCCCTGTTGAGGGTCGTAGGCAAAAAAACACAAGGTAACAGCACGACAAGTATTTCACTACATCGACTGCAGTCTTGTGATCACTTGGTTTGGGCAGAGTAGGCCGGCGCCGCTCCCAAGCTGGAACTTCACGAAAACGGCGTTCTCCTCTCTGGAACGTTCGGATATCGGAGCACGAGGCTAGCTCATACGTAGGCACAACAATCTCTCACGTTTCGTTGACGAAACGCACCGCTTCACGTTCAGCTCCAACAGCGGCAACGCGTCGGCCTTGTCCGAGGCTACGAACTCCCACCCCAGCAGCGCCGCCGTCATCGCCACAAGACCCACCCCCGACCCAAGCTCCAGAGCCGATACTCGGGCAGGATCTCGATGCAACGGCTCCCCACAAGGTGGCGGCCCAGCACTGCAGTTTTCGAGGGAGCCCCCATCGCTGCTGGATCCTCTTGTGTGTGAACCTGCAGCACCAATTACGGGGGCTGTGGACACGATATGCCGCGCCATGACCAAGGCGGAAGGCCAAAGGTAACTCCCGAGCGCTCCGGACGGCGTCTGCGTAAGCTCGTGCCGCTCCCCGAGTATGCCCACCACCGTCCGCACCTCAGCAGCCCCTGCTGTTGCGAGCCCCGGTGCTTCCGTCGCCGACAACCCCGCTGTCTTGTCTTCTCGCGACGAAACACAGAGAGGCGTTGTAGGCGGAGAAGAGAATATCACCACTTCAGTCTCGTTGGCCGGCGTCTCTAAGAACACAGACTCTGCTTGCGTGCTGCCCTCGGTAGCTGTGGAGCGTGTTTCGCTTGCTTGGCAAGAAGTTCCGTCTTGCCGCGGCTGCCGCCGCCGCCGCTGCACCTCCCAGATCTCGATGTCGTCTGCCGAAAATATGGGGTGTTGTCGCGCCTGCGGGATAATTGTTTTGACGAGGCCTTTCGCAGCTGCCAGTTCCTCGAACCTCCGGCGGGGGTCGAATTTCGGGTAATGCCGATGCTCGTAAGACATGATGGTAACGGTGTCGGGGCCGGAAAGCCGGTCGATGGCGTCGACGAGGGGCTCGATCGGATAGAGCTTCGGGAGGACACAGTCGGACACGAGGACGATGTCCACCGGGGGGGACAGGCTTGCGTCGTCTTTGCCCCAGTCGTACGTCAGCACTCTTATTTCGCCGCAAGCAACACCGGCGGTCGTGGCATCACTCGCCTTCGGCTTCTCTCGCTTCGCAGTCGCCCTGTCCGCGTTCTCCTGCATGAGGAACAAGAGCTGTTCCTGGTCGGTCAGAAACGCCTCCGCGCCCAACGCCGCCGCCACGATGCCCGCCACGCCTGTGCCGGCGCCAAGGTCGACAGCTCGAAGTCGTTCCATCCCTCCCGGTCGTCCTCCGCCCCCGCCGTCGCTACCGAACCTGCGCTCGAGGTACTTGGCGAGGACGTGCGCCGCGGGCCACACGGTCGCCCCGGTTCCGAGGCCGGTTACTTCCCCCGCTTGCAGCTGCCGGAACTCGAGAACGACCCCCGATTCAAGGGGCAGAGGATAGATGTCGTCCTTCGAGTGTGCCTGTAGACCACGTCGCGCGGCGCGGCGTCAGCGGTGAGGGGAGGCACACATGCACGGCCAAGAGAGCGTGTGGATCGGCGAAAGACACGGGAAAGGTAACGGTTGAATGCACAGGTTGCGCCCGCACTTCAGCACCTGGCCGAGGCTGGGGTGGTTTCCGTTACGCTACGAATGGACGCTGTACAGGTTTTAGTTTAAGGCCCGCAAATGGTGCTCAAAATCTTAGATTTAGAGTTTTTCGAGGCTAACTCCTTTCATTGCCAAGTTCTTGGGTGCGGGCGCAAACCGTAGGTTGTAAAATAGTGAACAGCCGTGATCAGTCGTGCTGGAGTTCTCGTCCACTGCATGGCATGTGACGTAGACCGGCCTCCTGATGCTACTGCCGCAACTTGGACGGAAAAAAATCCATACAGGTGCTATGTGCACCATACTTGTCAGGATGTGCCCCTTTGGTGGGTGCTAATCATGGTCATGGCGTATGCACTACCTTTGCATGTGCTTGCGTGCATGTGCTGCTTCTGGCAGAGACGACAGAGATGGAGAAATTGCGCATTGACCGGCCGAGGGTCTTGATTACACCGCAGGACCAGCTTGGAGGGAGCGACACCACAGGTCATTTCCTTCCTTACCTGACGCCACTGGAGGCTGTTGATCATCCGCTGGACCTTCGTGGCCGCTCGGGAGCTGCCTTGCAAACGGCCTGCCTCCTCGGCTCCTTGTCGGATGAGCGCCGCGATGGGGTTGGGCCTGCAGGTCGGCTCGGCCATTGTTAAACTGCTCTGTCTCCGACGCTGTTCGGCCGTGTAGTCCGTGGGAGATGTTCCATAAAGACGGCCTCAGATTTGATTGTGAGCTGCCGCGTTGACTTATGCGGGTGTGGAGCCTGACACTACTTATTGCATAATTGTGGACTAGGATCCCCGCGCAGCAGGTCCTGTCGTGCTGATAAGACTTCACGTACAAGCAAGGCTTCTTGACAGCCCGAGAGGCGTTGGCGGACGGATTACGGATTTCGGCCTTGAATCCACGACCCCCCCACCCCCCTCGTGCATGAACAAGCTGTTGGACCCCCGCTGCCGACGTTTCCCAAAGCAGCAAAGCACCACAAGGCACTCCTCAGACCGGAGATTGCTAAGCCTCACAAACGGCAAAGCGAAAATGTTTAGCACTAGGAAGGTGGTGCGTGGGATCCAGGGACGTGCGGTTGTGATCGCGCGTCGTGCTGGCCGACGGTCACCGAGGCGCTCCCTGCAACATCGGGCTTTAGAGCATCAGCCGGCGGCGTGCACTACTACTGTTGCCGGTGTGCTGCTTCCGGGATCATCGTCATCGACAGGAAGGGCGGCGTACTCGACGACGGCACCAGCTGAAAGAGGTGGGATGGTAGACGGAGATGCTGCCCCACGCGAGCAGGGCACTCGAATCTCCTGACGGCACGCCTATTACGTTTGCTTTCGAACGGAACCGATATGCTTTTCTGCCGGTTTCCCCGCTACTGCCGGTCGGGTCCCAGAGTTGTACCGGTTGGTCCCTGCACAAGCCTACACTACACGGTTGCCCGCTGCTCCTTCGCCTAGCGCGTGTCGATGTTGACTTTCATCTCTGAATGTTTGCATGCAGCGGCACAAGAAGTGCAAAGAGCTGCGAGATCTGTGTTTGCTTGCTTTGCACAGCAGCAGTGGACGGGGGGGGGGGGGGTTGAAACACGTTGACAACGCGATCGTTTCATCCGATGGGATAAGATGATGACGTACACATGCAATCATCGTTGTCTCGTAGCATCTACAGCAGTACTTAGGTACAGACCGCACCACCGCCAAGAGGGGGTTTTTACCCGAATAGTGAAATTATTGCTCGCACTTTGTCGCGCACGATCTCCATCCAGCACACCGACTGTCTACCCCAGTTTCCCGATAAAATCTTGTGTTCCACCCTTGGTACACGTACAGACATGCAGATGTTGATGTCGTGCTGCACCCCGTGTTGAGTGTATCTTGAACGAGAGTAGTATGGGAAAGGACCGGGAGGTCTACCTGTACAGCAGTAGTTGCCCCTCAATAATGCCCGTGTATGCCCAGCGAATCCACCGGCGCTTTTTTTCCTGAGCTATTCAGAGGGACGAGCGCTATTCAATCATATATGTGCAGCGGGATGACTTGGTGATTCAGTCGGTGCCAGCAATGTTACCGGCACTGCTGCGGGCCACGGCGGCGTTATTCAGCCGGCGTTGTTAAGGGCCCACTACCGAACCTTCCTTCCCCACACCATGGCTATCTGCGCGCCATGAGCCGTGTGAAGTCGAGTCGCATGTGGCTAAGAACTTCCTCTCCCGAGTGAAGACATCCATTCCCACACAATCATGACCAAGATCGCATTTCATGTGACCCTCCTCCTGCCGTATTTGACTCTTATCTGTTGGTACACGCCGCGTGTTCACCCGCGGTGAGACACTGGTTCGAAGTGCATGGTGTGTTTTCGCTGCGAGAGGGAAGACACAGAGTAAGAAGAGGAGAGAGTGCTGCATCACGCAAGCACCGTCACACATGGGGGGCCCCGTACATGAATCGTGTCCACACGAACCGTCCAGCCGATTCATCCAAACCTATCCTTGTACCCTCGAACACATACTTGGCGTCGTTTGCACCCCAAGAATTGTGGATCATGAGCGCGTAAGCAACCCACGCCAATAGAGCGAAAGCAATAACGGGTCTTGTGTGCTTGTTCAAACTTGGCTGCTTGGGCAGTGTGACTGCCCAAGCAGCCAAGTTTGAACAAGCGCACAATTCCGGCTATCACTCGCACTCTCTTGGCAGGAGTCGCTTTTTATACATATGCCCTCTTTTCAAAATTCCAAACTTCGCTGTGCTTGAAGGAGTACAAGCCTGGTTATGAGATGGATACGGGTTAATGCGCACTTGATCTACGATTGTGTTGGCATGAGATGTTGGTTTGCTTCGGGAGAAAAATATGTGATCCATGTAAATTTAGCCTTCAACCTCACAACTCAGGGGGCACGCAGATAGCCATGTTGTGGGGTTGTCGAGGTATACCTCCCGGCCATTCCACACCCTGCACTTAATGGTAGACCCAAGTTATGCGCCCAGCACCACCGCACAACACTTGAGCCGGAGTGTTAATAAAGTCTGGAGATAAGAGGTTGTGGAGTTACACCGATAAGCAAGATGGCCGCAGCACGACACCTCTGTCTATACTTTAATCCCGTCTTGACGCAAGGAGCTGTGGCCAATACGAAGGCGTCACGCGGAACAAGAGGCCACGCCGCACGCCCGGAAACCCAAGAAGTAGATGCCCACGAAAATGGTCTACTACGTGGCGATGCTGTTTTTTCCCAACATATTCCAAAGCCTCCTCTTGGTGTTATTTTGATACCTTCATGTTACTCGTGTTCGCACGCGTGGAAGCACTTGACCGCGCGGATTTTCCGCATTGTAAGCTGGGATGCGTCGATGCCTGGTCGTGTATAAGTAGCAAGGCATGCAAAATAAGGACAACCCTCTCAAACATGCCACCGAATCTCTACACCAACCTTGTCGCAGCAGCGGTGGTGAACGGCAAAGTCGTGCCGCGGACTGAGGACATCGTTCATGAACGCTTCCTGGCGTGTGTCGAGAAGGGCGACGCCAACGCTGCCATGGCGCACTTCGCGTTCATCTCTTGCGACGCGAGGGAGAGGGGCGCTCAAGAGCAGGCGCTTAGGGAGGAGGTGGTCGCGCTCCGCAGGCGGCAGCTGCTGGAGCTGTTGTGCGAGAAAGGTATGGTGAACGAGGCGAGCGAGCTACTGGCTAATGCGGTCGCGTCGCCGGGGTTCAACAGCCGGGACTCGTCCACCGTTGTAAGTGACAGAGAGAGCGAGGGTGGGG